GTATATGGGAACGGGAGAAAGGGAATCCCAGAGAAACCTACCCACTCACGTGATTAATGAGAATAATCTATCTGTATGTATATATATATATAAATATAATGTTATTTTATTTATTAAATAGGATATATATAATTTTTAAAATATAATATTCTATTAATTATATTATATTTATTTGTTATAATTTTTTTTTTCAGAATGTTACATTATGTATTAATTAGAAAATATATTTACATAAAATATAATAAAATTAAAAACTGTAATATAAATGAAGAGATTGACTCGTCTAATTTTTTTTTTTTTGGGCAACATGCTATTTTTTTTTTATTAGCAAAGGTAAATTTATTTTATAGAGTATAAGAGGTACTCCTACCCATTACAAATATAGTATCATCAAGAATAATACAAAGACCACACCAACTGAAGCTTCACAAAACATTTTGCAGAATAAATTCTAAATAATCAATTTAAACAAAGAGAAGACAGACAAACAATTTCATGAAGATAATGACTTTCTAGATTGCTGCACCACAATGGAGTATCTCGCACCCGTCCAATCTTACTCTATCGTCGAACCTTTTTGCTGTTTATGAAACAGCTTCAGCTCCCGTTTATGCCTTCTCATTGATAGAGCACACTCAACTGGATTTACTTTCCATTCATGAAAAGAAAAGACACATCCTTTCACCTTGTTTTTGATCCAGAAGGATGACTTGGCTTGAATCATTTCAAATAATCTTCCTCTAATGTTATCTCCATTATTAAACACCTTACCATTTCTCCAATACCATAAATACCATGAGACAACAAGAAAGATGCAAGCCCCCATTTCCTTCCCTATTATCCTACCCACATCTTGTACAAAAATGTCTGCCACTCCTAATACATAATTAGGTATAACAGTCTCCATGCCCCACCATTGTAGTACCTCTACCCAAATAATCCAGGCTTCTTTACACATACAAAATAAATGATTGGCTTCTTCAACCATGTCACAACACAACCCACACTTAACTCCTCCTCCTGCAGAGAGACACCTCTTTTCATAATATTCCACTTAGTTGGTAACCTATCTAGGCATAATCTCCACCGAAAGAAAGAAACTTTGGATGGTACCAATCTACACCAAATTAGCTTGCTCCACTAGTCCTCTAAGATACTCTCTGTAGGAGCTAAAAATTCATAAGCTTTCTTCACCATGTATTTTCCCTCTGAATCATGTATCCACCTCCTAATATCGTTCACACCCTTCTTTAATTGAAAATTCTCCAACACCTCCCACAACACCTCCTCCTCATCCTTCTCTCGTCCTATTCTCCCTCTCTTCCATTCCATTTTCCAACTCCATTTTCCCCCTCCCATACCCCCATATCACTAATATTACCCAACTTATTCTTAGATAACTCATACAACCTTGGGCATAAATCCCTTAAATTTTTATTCCCAACCCACAATTCTCTCCAAAAGCCTACCCGTTTCCCTTCCCCCACTTCCCACCTAAATCCCTCCACCAACATATTTTTAAGCCTCCTAGAACGACCCCCTACACTAATAATATCTCTCCAAATTCTAGATGTCCTCCAATTCCCAACTGTTGAAATGTCCACCTCCTCCCTCTTGCCCCCATAATATTTCTCCGATACTATCCGTTTCCATAAGCTTTCTACATCCTCTCCAAATCTATGCCACCACTTCCCTAGTAAAGCCCAATTCTTCCTACGCAGGTCCATTACCCCTAGTCCCCCTTTTATCTTACTCCCACATACCTTATCCCATTTCACCCATGAGATCTTCCTCTGACCCTCTACCCCTCCCCATAAAAATTTTCTCTGTATACTAATCAATTCAGTCATCACAGAATTTGGAATTAAGAACAATGACATATAAAAAGTGGGTAAAGCAGAAAGTACCGAGTTGAGCAGAGTGAGGCGGCCACCAAAGGATAGCGAAGTAGCTTTCCAGATAGCAAGTTTGGCTCGAAATTTGTTTACTAGCGGCTCCCATAACTTCTTATTCCCAGGATTTCCATCGACAGGCATTCCCAAATAACTAAAATGTGATTTCCCAACACCACAACGCATCATGCTGGCTGATCCTTCTACCCATCTCACTGGCAAATTATACCCATAAATGTTACTCTTACTAAAATTAATTTGCAGACCCGACATCAATTCGAACCATCGCAGAATTGTTTTGACCATAAAAATATTCTCTGTGTCAGCCTTTCCCATAATGATTGTGTCATCAGCGAATTGAAGTAAGGAAATAACTAATCCCCTCTTGCCAACCTCTATACCTCTCAACAAACCCTCCGATACTACTTTTTGAACTAATCCATTTAATCCCTCTCCAATCATCAAGAATAAAAAAGGAGATAGCGGGTCACCTTGTTGTAGTCCTTTTCTAGCTTTGAACTCCTCTGTTGGGCTGCCATTAATTAAAACTGACATTCTAGTAGTCGACAAGCACTCCATGATCCAACCTCTCCACTTGATTCCAAAGCCCAATCTATCCATCATCCATTCCAAGAATGTCCAATCCACACAATCATATGCCTTTGCAAAATCAGCCTTAAAGATAAACGCCGACTGTTTCCTTCTCTTAACTTCCTCCACCATCTCGTTCAACACCAGCACTCCATCAACTAATTGACGTCCTCCCAAGAAAGCTAATTGAGTTTCACTGATAATCCCCGGCAATACAGCTTTAAGTCTATTAGCCAACACCTTTGATAATAGCTTATACACACACCCGATCAAACTAATGGGTCTATAATCCTTTAAATTCCCAACATTAAGCTTTTTAGGAATTAAAATTATAAATGATGAGTTCAACCCACTAACCAATCTACCATTCCGATGAAACTCTTCAAAAAAGCTCATAAAATCCTCCTTTAAACTATTCCATGCAAACTTAAGGAAAGAAAAATTATACCCGTCTGGGCCCGAAGCTTTAGAACCTTCACAACTTCGCAATCCTTCTTCAATTTCCTCAATGGAGAATGGTCGTTCAAGCCACTGTTTGTCCTCTGTAGAAATCTGCTTGAAGCTAACCCCATATGGCTTTGGTCTATTCCACGTATCTCCTTGAAAAAGCTTGCTAAAATAATTAACCACCTCCTTCTTAACTTGTGTTGGTTCTTCCACCCAACAACCATCACACCATAAACCTGTGATATGATTTTGGGCCTTTCTACTGTTTGCTATTCTATGAAAGAATCGCGTGTTTGCATCTCCCTCACGTACCCAATTACTTCTTGACTTCTGTTTCCATATCACTTCTCTCTTCCTCAAAATATCCCACATATTCTGAAATCCTTCGTGTCTTTGAAGAATCTCAAAATCCTCCAAATCAAAATCTTCATTTTTCAGATCAACATGCTCAACCTTTTTAACCGCCTGTTCGTATTGAGCTTCCATATCCCCAAATACATCTCGGTTCCAACCCTTCAAAAACTCTTTCAGCTTCTTTAATTTCTGTTTACACTTATACCCTGCAAATCCATCGACTTCCATTGCTCTCCACTTCTCCTCGATAACCTTCTTAAAATTTGGATGAAGTTGCCAAGCATCCATAACTCGAAATGGCCTTGGTCCCCAATCCATTGTTCTTGTTTTCAGGGCAACATGCTAATTAATTTCTCTTGATAAGACATGACTATCTAAATAGCGCTTCTCTTTGCATTACCATGTGTATTAATTTCTCCTGTAGATAAAGGGATAAGGCTTTTTAAATATGTATATGGTATAGAAAAGTGTTATTTTATGTATTAATTAAGGGTATGCATTTATATAAAATATAATAAAAATTAAAAACCTTAATATAGATGAAGAGTTTGCTCATCTAACCAACTTTTTTTGGGCAGCATGTTAATTAATTTCTCTTAATATATGAGGATGCCCAAGCAAGGCATTTTAAATAATTCTTGCCTTTGCATTACCATATGCATTAGTTTCTCTTAGTATACGGACAGAAAAGGCTGTTTAAATATTCAAAAATGACAACAAGAATTATCCAACAAAAAGAAAACGAAGAGTTAAGTGTCAATTATTTAAATTTCCTACATTTTTTGTTGTTAAAATCCAAAATTATCCAACAAGAATTATCCAACGTTGTTTTGTTTTAAAGATTTTTTTAAATCCAAAATTTGGTTGCAAGGTATAGTTGCTTGAATTGCCATTTCTCAATATGAATAGGTATAAATTTTAACCACTATTTTTTCCCCTAATTATGTTACATCTTTTCTTTTATTTTGAAATACTTTATTACTAAAATTTCAAAAATATCTAGGGGTAAATCAATTACAAAAGATATAGATTATGTATTTATTGATTAACTTTTACTCAATAAAGAATATTAGAAGATTGAAGTGTGAAAATGTAGATTATGGGATGTTTTTAGTTTGAAATATGATAGAGATGATCTAACTAATAAAATGCTTTTGGCGATGAGAAGTTAATTTTATAAGTTATTATATTTGGTCTTTTAAATATTTAACAATTACTATTAATAATAGTTATTTGTTTGTAGAAAAATTTTACTTATGAAATAATTTGAAGTTCCAATACTTTGCAATTTAAGAATATATTGGTTGAAAGGAATGTTTATCACGTGAAAAATTTTTTTATGAAAAAGAATAAGGATGCTTATTGTGTTGGTTTGCCGTTAGTATTAGTATATATTTCATTTTCTCCTTTTCATCTGTATAATTTCTTTTTGCTGACATGATGAGTTCCAAATTTTTTTTTTATTCTCTATTTCATATTGTAATTAAATATAATATAATATTTTTATTTCCATGTGCCTTTTGTTTTTTTCTCTTTGTACAAAATATATATTGTTGAATGAACTATTTTTCCTCTTAGTCCTATTATTCTTTTCTATGAATATTTTATACTACTAGAAAATAGAATACATTCGACAGCTAATACTATCAATTATACAAAAATTTTTGTCAATTATATCTTAATCGACAAACATAATCGACAACTTTTGTTGTCATAGTAACAATAGTCGATAATGAGTATATTAGACAAAAATTTTTTTTGTCAAATATACTATTATATTCGACAACCATTAATTGTCGAATATAATATAATCGATAGCTAATGGTTGTCGATTGTACTTGGACAAAAATTAAAAAATAGCATCGACGGCCAACCATATTGCCTGTCGAATAAACATTTAATTGACAGCCCATAGGCTGTTGATTATGTTTTTTCCTATTGTCCAACATATTCTCACTACAAGCAAAATGTCATTTACCAACAGAAGTCTATACTAACGGATTAAAATCCGTTTGTATAAATCATGTATACCAACGGAAAACATAAGCAGTCAGTATACATTGGTCTATACCAACGGAAAAATATATCCGTTAGTATAGATTGGGTTTATACTAACAGTTTACTAATTATCCATCTATATAAAGTATATATATTCTAACGGTAATCATTATCCGTTTGCATATATCTATTTATACAAACGGATTAACCTATTCTGTCTGTATAATTCCCTATTTCTTAAAGACAATTTTTTCCTCTTTTATTTTAGCCGTTTGTATACATTTTTCCTTCCCTCTACATATTCCCAATTTTCCCTCCCCAAATTCTGAGTTTCCCTTCCCGGTAAGCCTAAGTATTTCTGTCCCTCTCCCAAATCTCCAAAATTTGGAATTTATTTGCTAAAACGTAAAAACCCATTCAAACCTAACTACAAAATTCAAAAGCCTGACTCTAATCCTTCCCAAATTCTGACTTTCCCTCCTCGATAGGCCTAAGTATTTCCATCCCTCTCCCAAATCTCCAAATTTTGGAATCCATCCACCACGGAAAGCCTCTGTTGTTGCTTCAACATTTTTCAGGTATCCATTCATGACAGTGTTACCCCTAAACATAACCTCCCCCATGGTTTTTGCATCAGCTGGAACGCTCTTCATGGTAACAGGATCTTTAACATCAACTTCCTCCAACC